TTATTTATTTATTTATTTATTTATTTATTTATTTATTTATTTATTTATTTGATTTATACACCGCCTATCTGGACTACTCGTCCACTCTAGGCGGCTGATCCATTTCTCTTATCGTTAAGAAATCAACATCTCTTTAAAAAAATTGAAGACATATTGCAGAAATGTGTAATAAATGCTTTAACTGTGTCCCCAGTACAGTGAGAGTTAATAATGCAGTTCCTTTCCTTCCTTTTCTTTTTCCCAAGCTCTGCTCATTTATTTATGTACTATTTATTTTCATTTTTATGCCGTCTTTCTACCAGTTAATAAAGGACCCCACGGTGGCTTGGTGTTGGCAGAAAAACGGAAACTTCAAACGACTGAGTAGTTCCATAATTTGTTTTCATTTCCAGGTCCTGCTCAAGGTGCCCGTACACCCGTGTCTTCCAGCTTCCGTCCTCTGGATGTATTGAATGTATTTGGAAAAGAAAGAGGTGAAGAGCGGTCTCAGGGATCCCATCAGCTTTCTGCCTCTGTCCCTACTGACTCCAGCAACACGATAGTTATTTGCAGTTGTCAGGATGGCTACAGGCATTTCACCCGCAGAAACCAACAAGGTTGGTTTGAAAACGTCAATCAAGCTGAGGTTTTTTTTTTTCCATCACTGCGCAGTTCCTGACTTACTTAGTTGCCAAAAACCTATCTGAACAAGAAAGGCCAGCAGAAGGACAGCAAGAAGAGTGCCAGCATAGCTTCCCAGGGTGCAATTACTCATCGAGCAGAACTGAGAACATGTAGGGCCATAGCATGCTTATTATTAAAGCGGATTTTGTTACTAGGGATCATCTGGGGTTCTGAGTTTTAATTCGTAAGCCACCCAGAGCAGCGTTTCCATGAAAGGGGCAGTATATAAATCCAATCATGCCATCAATAAATCAATACGTTTTAAGTTTTTGTTGCACGACGTATTCTTGATCTGAAAGGAAAGCTCTCTGGATCATCTCTGCCTTGTTCATTCAGCCACGTCCTTCTCATTGCCAAGCTTTAGGGCTTTCCTGTTATAGTACTACCAAGTTGTGATAGCATGTCTTCCCAAGCAGTGGCTAACGAAAGCACTTCCTCTACGCTCATTAGGAATAACGAGCTATCCCTTAGCAACAAGTGGCGGATTTTGTCACTGGCTCATTGGAAAGTGCCCTTGGGGTGTTTTTTAATTTGCTTTCCTCCATCTAGCAATTCCCAGATGTGAACACATCCCACTCTCTGCTGGCTGGGGACAGTGGCGTTGGTCATCCAACATGTCCGGAAAGGCCCAGGAGAAGGCTAGTATAGTGGTGCCTCGCATTACGATGTTAATTCGTTCCAGCAAAATCACTGTAGAACAAAAACGTCGTAATGCAAAAAGAAAAAACCCATTGAAACGCATTAAAACCCATTTAATGCATTCCAAAGGACTGTAAACTCACTGTCCAGCGAAGATCCTCCATAGGATGGCCATTTTCGCTGCCTGTGCAGCGAGAAATCCGTCCCAGAAAACAGCGGAGGGCCATTTTGTTTACCCGGCGGCCATTTTGAAGCCGCTGATCAGCTGTTGGAAAATCGTCGTTTTGCAACGAATTGGTTCCCGAAGCAGGGAACCAATCATCGCAAAGCGAAATTCCCCCATAGGAAACATCGTTTTGCGATCACAAAAGCAATCACAAAAAGTTAATCGTAATTACCAAAGCTGGAACCTTGGGGCAATTGTAAAGCGATGCACCACTGTACTCAACAACCTGTGCAATTCAGCATCATGTGTCGTCAAGTAAGTTCTGACTTATAGCAACCTTTTCCAGGATTTTCCAGGCCGACGGTATTCAGAAAGTGGCATTTTTATGGTATGGAAGAACCAAAAAGCCATAAATATTTTGAAAGAAATATAATAAGGAATTCTTTGTTAAAAGTATGGGAAAAAATTAAATGTAAAATATACATGAAAACTCCTTGATGGATCTCATCTATGGAAGCATTCACTCACCCAAACTTGTTAAATTTTGGGAAAATAATGACATATAATGAGCTCTTAAATGAGGAAGGACTATTAAAGACAAAAACTCAACTAGAGAGCCAAGGACTGACTTTTTCATGGTGACCCCAATTGCAACTACAATCAATTTATAATCAAGACAAAAAAACACAAGGATTCTATAAAGAGCATACAATACTTGACAGAATATTACTTACAGAAAAACAACAAATTCAAAACATATATAAATTTTTATTTCAGTGGGACACACAAGATGAAGAGGTTATGGAGACAATGTTAAAATGGTCAAAAATGTTTGGATATAGTATAGAGCTAGAAAAATGGCAACAAATGTGGACTAAAAATCTTAAGCTAACATTAGCAACTTCTTATAAAGAAAATCTATACAAAATGTTTTATAGATGGCATCTCCCTCCATCCAGACTTGCAAAAATCTCTGTCAATATTTCAAACAAATGTAGGAAATGCAAAAATCAGGAAGGAATTTATTACCATGCATGGTGGGCATGTGACATAGCAAGAAAATATTGGATTAAAATTCATACATGGATTAAGAAAATGACTAAACAAGAAATAGAATTTAAACCAGAAATTTTCTTGTTGGGATTATTACCAAATAATATAAATAGGCAAAGCTACTATTTAATATCACATGTTCTGACAGCAGCTACATTAGTATGGGCACAGGTCTGGAAAGAGGGAGATCCGCCAAAGGATGCCATGATTATCAAAAAAATATTAAAATGTGCAGAAATGGACAGACTAAGAGATTAAAAGGATAAGAAAAATCAGTTTATTACCAAAGCTGGAACCTGTTCTATGAATGGTGGAAAATAAAAGTTTTGTAATAAATAGAAAATAATATGGAGAAGATCTTGCAAAAAGAAATGTACAGTGGTGCCTCGCTAGACAGTTACCTCGCATGACAGTTTTTTCGCTAGACATTGACTTTTTGCAATCGCTATAGTGATTTGCAAAACAGTGATTCCTATGGGGGAATTTCGCTGGACAATGTTTGGTCCCTGCTTCGCAAACCGATTTACGCTAGATGGCGATTTTGACAGCTTCCCCTGCACTCGCAAAACAGGTGTTTTCGGAAACTAAGCTTTGCAAGACAGCGATTTAAACAGCCGATCGGCGGCTTTCCTATGGCCGATCTTCACTAGACAACGACGATTCTTCCCCAATGATTTCACTAAACAACAATTTCAGTGGAACGGAGTATCATCGTCTGGCGAGGCACCACTGTATTACTAAATAAGACTGCTTGTAGGCTAAGCTTTATAATATGTATTGTTTTTAGATATAGATATATACATATATAGGATGTCATTTTTGTACTGTATTTTTATAAGTTACTGTATATGTTGGGAAAATAAAATATTTTTTTAAAAAAGAAAAAAAGTGGTTTCCCATTTCCCTTCTTCCTGGGGGGTTGCCCTGGGACTGTGCAGTTTGCCCAAGGCCACCCAGGCTGGCTCTTGGGAGGAACTGAACTCCCAGCCTCTGGCTCTCCAGCCAGTGTTTGTGGACAGGACAGATCCTTCCATGGCTCTCTTGCGGTCTTCTCTCCATCACCAGCATCCCTTGGGCACAAAGCCGGATTGGATGGTGGCGGGCGAAGGCTTGGCTTGGAGGAGGTGGGTATCTCTTCCTCCTCCTCCTCCTCCCATCCAATCTGTGAGCCGGAGAAGGAAAATCTCATGAATAGGAGACGCCTCTGAGCTCCCTCCTCTTTCTCCTTCTCTTCTCTCCCCCCCCCTTCCCAGTTTCCTGGCCATGAAGGCAGCGGCAGAGCAGCTGTGAGCGCTGCAGGCGAAGGAGGACCAGCCCCGCAGCCAAGGAACTCTTCCCCGCCGGCGGCGCCTTAAGAAGATGCTGCCCAGCTAAAAGGATGCTGAGCGCTCAGGTAAGGCCAGGTGGGCTCCCTGGTTCCACAGGCAGAGGAGAAAACCCAAGATCTCCTATGGCTATAGGAGATCTCCTATAGTGGAGACTTCTTCCCTGGGGGGGTCGTTCTGCCCCTGAGCCGGAGACAATGGGAGAAGGATGCTCGTGGCCTGTTTCGGGGTCCAGGGGTGGAGGAGGGAGCAGGCCTCGCTTGGGTGATGCAGGACCCCCTCCTTCCTGGCCTTGCAGAGCCTCAAATCCCACAAGAAGAAAGGAGAAGGCGGCTACTTTTCCTGCTGCAGCTGCTTGCCCCCTTCATTGTTTTCAAGGATGCTGGTGGCCGGCTGGGTCCGCCTTTTGTCTGGGGATTTGTCTGTCTCTCCTCCTTCCCCTTTCTCCTCCCTTTTCTGGGGGGAACAGATCGAGTTTCCCCTCAATTCAGGGCTTTGATTTTATTCATTCCTCTCTCTCCCCCCCCTCCCGCCTCCCCTCCTGGCTTGGGGTCAACAGTCTGGTGGAATTCCGGAGGCAGGACCTGGGGAAAAAAAAAAGGAAGAAAGAATCTGAAAAATTGCTACCCTGCCTGGCGTTTGTGAGGTTTCAAAACACCATCGCTCAGGCTTGCTGGTCTTGAGCGTCCAGAAAGGCCGCGGAGGGTCGATCTGAACCAGAACCAGTCGCTGGGGAGAGAGAAAAAAGAGAGAGAGACAGGAGAGACAACAGCACAACTTCGCTCCCCCTCCCCTGGGTACCGGAGGTGGGTTGCCAGATCCAGGTTTAAAAACAACAAGGCGCAACTCTGGCGCAATGATAATGTAAGGCAAAGCACATGTTTCTGTTCCGGCTGCTCGCGAGGTTGTGAAAGAAGGGGGTGAGGATTTCTGTGCAAATCCTCATCCCAACACAATCCTGTGCAAACCTGTGCATCAGGTGCAACCGAGATTTCTTGGTTGGTCTCCCAGTTTCGAACAAAGGATCTTCATTTGTTTACTTCTGTTCGCCGGCCTTTCGGTAACAAATGGACGGTAGGATTGGGATTCCCCCCCCCTCCAGGGGCTGGGAGCATAGAAACGACGGATCTTGCCTCTGCAGGCAGTGATAGTTTGCTCTCTTTTTAAAGAATATTTTTGCACCTGTGCCCAACCGCCTGTGATGCCATCAGTGTGGTTGGTAGCGCTCTCGGTGGCGTGCAGGTTGAGCGATCTGCACCCGGCTGGTGCTCTTTGTGACTGGTGAGGTGGCATCCAACCGCCTGAACATTTTTGTTTTTAAGCCCTCCTCCCTGAGGGGTTGCATTATTCTCCTTACCTGTAGTTTCCTGTCTCTTTCCAAACACTAAAATACACCCCCCCCCGGGGGAAGTGAGTTTCTGCCTCTTTCTTGGTTACAATATCCTGCCTTTTTCTCTCCAAGGACTTCAGAGGGAGGTACTGCCCTCGGAGGTAGACTGTGCTGATCCAGAGCAGCTCGCCCAAGGCCTTCAGGGAACACGATGGCCCCACGGAGATCGGCACGCAGATCCTGGCGGCCTGATTTGACCTGAATGCTCTTTGCGACCAAGCAGCGGTCGAGACTTTACAGAATTTTAGGAGAAATTCTTGGCAAACGAAGGGGGTTCTTCTAGAGGTGATATAGACAACTCTGGCTATGTCTGGGGTTTCGTTTTTTTTGCCTCAACCATGCTCCAGATGGCTAAAGTGCCTCCCAGATGATTTGATGTGGCTAGTTGTCCTTAGCGGGCAAAAATACAGCCCCTGGCTGTGACCCCCCCTCCCAAAAAGGAAGGTGTGTTACCTGCTTCTGTACTGATTTTCTTGGAATGATAACAAGAAAGCCTTTTGGAAACCGTCTCCCCCCCCCCTTTGGGGAAAGACACTCAGATGTGGCGGAACTCTGCCTAAACTATGGATAATGGCAGGAAGTCAGCACAGCCCAAGGGCCTCCAGCTAGCTGTGACTACACCAGCCATCATCCCCCAACCAGCATGTCTGAAAAGGTAGATCCTCATTTTGCCTTCAGACACCATCATTTCTCTTTGTTATATCCCAATAGAAACTCCTCGCAGAATAGGAAAGGTGGCCTGGGATAAAATCATCCAACCTAGTTTCTTGTTTGGTCGCCCTGGCTTGTCTGGCGAAGTCAGCTTTTGTTCCCGACTGCTCTTTTCTGTGGCTGGTTGTGCAGGCAGGAAAAGGTGACCAGCGATGCATGCCGCTTGCTCCTTTGATTACCCAAAGGCTGGAAAAGTTCCTTTTTTGGGGAGGACTTCCAGTTGTGGTCCAAAAAAAATTTGAACTTTTATAAAAGCTGCATCTACGAATCGAGGTACTAATCTAGAACAAAGATTGTGTTGGGAGAAGATGAAACAGAGCTTTACCTGGCTTCTCTCCATCATATCTTGGCTGTATCCATCCTAACCTCCTTGCTTACAAAGGGCTAAATAGGACTAGCGAGGTGTGGAAATGATCTGCTTTCCTCCTGGAAAGGCAGACGCAGGCCGCTGGGTATTATCGACGGACTCATTGATGCAATGTACTTGTCTCTATCTTTTTCTAATTAGGAAGCGCTAAGGAAGAGCACTGCTAGATGACCTGACATTTCTAAATCTTTGCTTATTAGGGACCTAAGAGATTCTTAGATTATTTCAAATCCATGTACTCAACCTGACCCTTTTGGTCTCCCCACCCCACCCCCAGCTTGTCTCAATTGAAAGGAACTTGGACAAAAGCTTCTCTCGTCTGGGGCCCTGCATAAGGGTGAGGGTCATGTTCACCATGCCCCTTCATTCCCCCCCTTCCCATCTTCAGGGCAGCATATGCTTTCTTTTCCCCATATGTTTTGCATGAACCTCCCACCTTACCTTTGCTGAACTGACCTTTCACTTTCCCCGGAGCAGCTCAACTGTTAGCCAACATTCCAAACCTCACCTGAGCAGTTATGGCAGGCAACTCCTGTTCCAAGGGATAGCGTGACAAGGCATTTGCCAATATGCTTCCAGACCCACTGTCAGCCCGCCGCCCTAGCTGTGCCGTCATTTCCGCTTTGCACAGAATGTTCCAGAAGCCCGTCCTTGATCTAGATCCATGCAATAATTAAGTTAATCTGAGGAGCCCTTCTGCAACGGCTTGCGATCTGCAGCAAGCCATCTGTTGGCAACCTGGAAGGAAGCCTTCTCCACAATTGCCCTTACTTTTTGGAGGGTGGTTAACATTTTGCATTTTCATATTTCCCTTCTTAGCAGCTCCTATCTCTTTTCCGGCACTGTTTCAAGATACTGTTTGAGATGCAATTTTGGGAGAAGGCATATTAATCGGTTGAAACAAAAATAACAAAGGTCAAAGTCTCCACTAGAATAGAAGCACCAAATCAGGATCCCTTTCTGTTGACTTCTCCGGGGGTGCACTGCACAAGTGGCCTGACGAATCTTAAGAGTTTGTCCAAGGACTGATTGGGTTCTTCCTTGTGCAACTCAAAGCCCCACAGTAGTACAAACAAGCTGACTCTGTTTGAACAGTGGCCAGTCAGGGGATTGGTTGGAACTGTGTCAAAAAAATCCAACAGGATTCTGGCCAAAGAACTCTGGAATGCCTTAAGAAGGTTTATTTGGCATTAGCTGCCAGATAGGCCGTAGCTCCCAAAATCTTATGTTAAATAAAATGAATTACTCTTTCAGATCACACAAGACTTCATTGTTTGAGTCTATAAAGGTAAAGGTTCCCCTTGACAGTGAGTCCAGTCGTGTCCGACTCAAGGGCACTGTGCTCATCCCCGTTTCCAAGCCGTAGAGCCAGCGTTTTGTCCGTAGACAGTTTCTGTGGTCACGTGGCCAGCGTGACTAGACACGTAACGCCGTTTCCTCCCGACTGAGGTGGTACCTATTAATCTACTCACATTTTTTACATGCTTTTGAACGGCTAGGTCGGCAGGAGCTGGGACAAGCGAGGGGAGCTCACTCCATCGTGTGGATTCGATCTTATGATGGCTGGTCTTCTGACCTTGCAGCACAAAGGGGCTTCTGCGGTTTAACCTGCAGTGCCACCACATTTTAGTTTATAGCAAGCAGCATATCATCATCAAATGCTGTCAGATCAATTCTGATTTATGTCCACCCTTTCCAGGATTTTCTAGGTAGAGAATACTCAGAAGTGGTTACCCCTTCTCATGTTTTTTTTGGGGGGGTGGTGGTGGTTTTTGGGACTGTGCAGCTTGCCCAAGGCCACCCAGGCTGGCTCTACTCTCAGGAGACGCAGTGGGGAATCAAACTCCCAACCTCTGTTTCCGCAGCCAGAGACCTAAACCACTGAGCTGTCCAGTCAGCAACCAGCATGTAAGTCAGCTAAATAAACAAACCCGGAAGATGTGAATCCTAGATGCAACCCAAGAGAATTTTCCGCTGGCACGTCCTGCTTCCCCCAGGATAAGGGCTTCACACAGATTACAATGAAATGTGGATGTCTGCGGATTAGGGAACAAATCTGTATGATTTCATCTAGGAATTAGAAAGAAGAGCTTGGTGCATTTCTCTTGTGTTCACAATGACACCATTAAACATTTTTGTGAACCGAAAGATTTCCTGTATGCATTTCCAAGAAGTAGCTGTGTTAATTTGCTCCTCATCTCCGAGCCCCTCATCTGTTCTGACCAGCGGTGTAGATTTTCCTGAACATGTTGAATTGGAACATGTTCTGGGGAAAAACAAATCGATTGTACCTTTTCCTGTTTGCGAACCAATGAAATATAAATACAGGGAAGGTTTTCCAGAGTAGGGACGTGGTGGCGCTGCGGGCTAAACCAAAGAAGCCTGTGCTGCAGGGTCAGAAGACCAGCAGTCATAAGATCGAATCCACGCGACGGAGTGAGTGTCCGTCGCTTGTTCCAGCTCCCGCCAACCTAGCGGTTCGAAAGCATACAAATGCAAGTAGATAAATAGGGACCACCTCGGTGGGAAGGTAACAGCGTTCCGTGTCTAAGTCGCACTGGCCATGTGACCACGGAAGATTGTCTTCGGACAAAAACGCTGGCTCTATGGCTTGGAAACGGGGATGAGCACCGCGCCCTAGAGTCGAACACGACTGGACAAAAATTGTCAAGGGGAACCTTTACCTTTACCTTTTCCACAGTAAATTAAGGACCGGGAAATATTTCAACACACAGACTTGGCGGAAGCAAAATTAAAAAAGAATTCTGCCGCATCTTAAAGATTTTAATAGATTTATTATAGTGGCCAGTGGAACCGCATACGTTGCCATTACCAGAATGCTGATGTTGTCTCTGGTTATACGCTGGGTTGTGTGACTGGCCTCTCACCAGACATGTGACCAGCACCTCATTAATGAGCTGCAATTGGCCACCATGACTCACACAACTTCAGTTACCAGCCACTATAAAATCTATTAAAATCTTTAAGATGCTACAGAATCCTTTTTTTAAAAATCCCAGTAAGATTCTGGTTGATACCAGTTTTCTTGGACAGTGTGTCACTGGCAAGAAGTGACACATTGCAGGAAGTGAATTCTTAGAATCATAGAGTCAAGAAGTTGGAAGGGGCCTCTAAGGCCATCCAGTCCAAACTCCCCGACTCCAGGCAGGAATCCAAATCAAAGGATATGAAATCATAGGATATTTGTCCAATAAATGGAAGAGGTGCCATCTTGCCGAAGCCTCGCTTTCTTGGTTTTGATACTATAGTTTTCTAAGTACAGACAGAGATCTGCTTTTCTTTCCACGAAGGCAATGTGTTCCGAGGTTAAACCTTCCCGCACGTTTTGCCCAGATCCACCTGGGCTTCTCCTAGATTAGTAATGAGCACATGGGGATGGAGTATTGTCCCTAAGTATTTTGATGGCTGTGGTGCCAGGTGCCAGTCTGGCATGGAAGGGCGGCGTGTGGAGAAGTGGCCGCTGACAGCTGCCCGCCATCCTCTCCATCAGCTGAGCCGGGAGGTACGATGTGATGTTCCTCCAGCTGCAAGGATGTGGTTGACGCAGGAAGGTGTTGATGCGGAACATGCCAGGCTGTTCCCTTTGCTCAGTTGGAAAGGCCTGGGTTGTAGCCATGAATTCGTCCTTCCTGCTCGTGTCTTAGCAGCCGGTCGGATACCCAGCACGACCGTAGAGGGGCTAATTAAGTCCAGGCCAGACATTCAGAATTAGGAAGCAACCTAGCTGCTCCTGATGAGCTCCCTTTGTTATTTTCAGTGGTGCACAAGGCACGTGGCAAAGTAACATCGTGGGCAAGTAGGAAGTCAGTTTCTTGTCGTACCAGTTAATTGACTCCCAGTGACTTTTTAAAAAAAAATATTTTTGGGCCAGAATCCTGTTGGCAATTTCTGTGTGCTTAAGATAAGCGTTCAAGAGAAAACGGAGCAACCCTCGGTCAGATCTGCCTTGATTTGGATTCCTGCCTTGAGCAGGGAGTTGGACTCAATGGTCTTACGGGCCCCTTCCAGCTCCATCATTCTAGGATTCTATAAACTAAATAACTCATTGTGAAATGAATTGTGCCTAACTAAAAAAAAAAAACACTGCCAGTCACATTGTGAGGTGCACAAGCCCCTTTATCACACTTAGGGTTCAACTACATTGTGATCTATTCTGTGGTTTGTGCCAGAGTTGGCACAGTTAAGTTCCATGTCTTTTTCATGGACTACACGAAATACAGTTAATTTTGAGTAAGCCTGGTCTTTTCTTTTAAAAAATGCTCGCTAGTTGCTTCTTGTTCAGCTGGCAAAATGTAAGTGTTCTTTTGTAGCGCGCACGTCCCTCTTCCTTCGGCCCTCGAAGATGTTGAAAACACACGGTGCAGCCCTCACGGTCAAAAGTTTGGAGACCCCTGCGCTAGAGTGAAGGGTTCTCATTTTTCCTGGGATAAAATTGTCTGGGATAATCAAACATTCCTGAATGGCAACAGCAATTTAACTGTTACGGGAAACTCAGAGTCGTCCTGAATCCAACCAGGACAGTCTGCTGATTTGGTTGCAAACGTATGCACACACAAGTCAGCAGGTTCTGGCCATTATTACTGTTGTCTTGCTTGTTCTGGGACAGATGTCCCCAGATGTTCTCAGACTGCAATTCCCAGAAGCCTTCACCCACCCGCTGTGCTGGCCAGGCTTTCTGGAAGTTGGAACACAAGCACAAAGTTGGGAACCACTGTTCTGGGGATTCAATGTCAGCTTGTTTAATCAGTAACTGCAATAGACTTCTTCCTAAGCATGGCAACAGAAAGACTGAATTGAATTACTTTGAATTTCTTTTTCCTGACCTTTTCTAGCGGACTGATGGATGCTGTGACCATTTGTGATGCCAGAAAACCAGCCCATCTGCCTGCCTTCCCTGTATTATTCTAGCATCCTTCCAAATGAAGCGTTGATTGTGTAACGGCCTTGCCTCATTCACGAAATTTTGTGCAGGGGAGGGATAGAACTGTCTTCCTTTTGCAACCTCCAGTGGTGTTTTTTCCTAGCAGAAGAACAAAACGAAACGGTGAAACAAGAAAGGGGGAATAGCAGCTGCACAATGCCTTCTGATGAGCGAGTACTCTGTGCGTCCAGATGTGCCTCTAGTTTCCCAAGCTCGAATATTTCTTGCGGTTTGGGTAATTATTCTTCAGTTTCTAGGTTAAAAACCTCTCCTTCTTGACAAATACGAATGAAGTATCTGATATTTTTGTGTGGGGTACGCTAGGCGAATGGGTGGAGATGGTTTCTCCACTTGGATGAGACGCCCTTGACATTTCGGATTAATTGAAAAAATGCTAATTTATAAGGAGGCAGCACTGAAGGCTCTCTTGATTCTTGTTTCCAGGGCTTGTTCGCTGGTCCCGTCTGCTCTGCTTGTTTCCATGCAAACGTTTCCTCCAATATGAGCCGTCTGGTGGGGCTTCCAGTGCGCGTCGCCATCTGCCTGCTTCTGCTCAGCTCCTTCAGCCTGCAAGGCCTTGCTTTTCGTGACGAGGGGAGGCACGTCAGAGAACTGCCCCGGTCCTCCCCGACCGGGAACAGCTTCCAAGATGTGGCCAACGAGAGGGGCTCAAACCCTGGAAACAACTCAGGCTCGCCTTTACCAACAGTCGGCGCTTCTTCCTTCGAAAGCCCGTACAGCGCTTCAGTGGAGTCCTCTGGGAAGTCATTCAAGACCACCGCCACCACCGTTAAAGCCATGTTGCAATCCATTACGGGCATCCCCGTTCTCCTGGGACGCCAGAGTTTGGACATTTACGCCACAGCATCCCCAGGGACGGGCAGAAGCGTTGGCCCGTTCGATTCCAACGAACCCCGTGAAGAGCTAGATAAAAACAAAGCGGAGGAGATTTTGCTCACCACCGTTGTGACAACTCCCGTTCCAAATATTCAGGGTGAGGTGCAGGATGGCACCGCAAGAGAGACGACGGAGGGGAACGGAGGTGTTGGAGCAGGGCTTAGCTCCACAGAGAATCTAAAACAGGATGTTTCTACCCCCAGTTTCCTGGAAGGCATGAAAAGCATCCGATATTCCAGCACGCCCTGGCCGACCGCACAAGGAGAGGCGGCGCGTCTTCCGGGTACCACAACGGGCGACCAGACCACAGATCCTTCCCCACCGGTGGGACAGCTGCTCCGTTCTGAGCAAAGGCCAAATGGAGAGGATGACCTCTTGATTTCGACCAACCAAGGAGCAACCACGGGACCCACCCTCGTCCCCGCAGACAACGGATTCAATCCGGAAGGGGGAGCCTCCCACGGTCCGCGGCCCTCCAACGACACGCCCAGCGCTCCGGCCGCGCCGCAAAGCGATGAGTGGGATGATACAAAATCGGGGCTGGCCGGCCAGGCAAGAACTGCCCAACCGGTGGGAGAGAATTGGTTCCAGACAGTAACGGGGCTTTCCCTACAGCCCGGAGGGGAGGATGAGGAAGATGAGGTGAAGAAGGCCCTGGCGCCAAGAGTTTGGGGACCTGGAGCAGAAGGGCAGAAAGAGATTTCCATGGACTCTGGCCAGGCACTCATGGAGGCGCCGACCCCACTTTCTGCCGGCTTGAGTCCTGCCGAGGCCACTGACACACCGGAGAAGGACCACTCCTATGCTGAACGCCCGATGGAAGAGGCGGGCCAGCCTGTGGCTAACCTGTCTGGATTGCGTCTAGAGACGGCAACGACCACCGACGTGACCAAATCAGGTGTCTTCCAAACCCCAGCAATGCCTCTAACAGGTAATTTGTTCCTTTTCTCGACTCTTCAGTCTCTCCGTAAATGCAGAGGGATGTCTGATCTGGGGGAGGGTGCTGCAAAAATGTTTTGAGGGCCACATAGGGTTCATGGCCCATGATAAGTCCCACCTCCGTTTTAAAGAAGGCTTAGCATGGAAGCTGTTGTTGTTGTTGTTACGGGACGTCAAGTCCCTTCCAACTGATGGCCACTCTACTAATGAGAGATCTCCAACATGTCCTTTTCTTTATCCACCTTGTTCAGCTCTTACAAACCCAAGCCTGTGGCTTTCTGGAGGGAGTCAGTTCATCGTGATATTTGGTCTTCCTCTTTTCCTGCTGCCTTCCATCTTTCCTGGCATTATGGGTCTTTTTCAGAGAACTCTGCCTTCTCGTGATGGGCCCAAAGTAGGACAGTGTTGAGTTTCAACATTTTTGCCTCTAGAGAGAGTCCAGGCTCCATTGCTAATAGGACCCCCTTGTAAAGTTCTCCTCCAGCAAATCAATTTCGACCCCCTCAGCTTTCTTCGCTGTCTAGCTTTCCCACCCATACATACTAATCGGGAGTAAAAGAGTGTGGATGATCTTGGCCTTGGTGTCCAGTGACACATCCTAAGACTTGACAATCTTTCCTTGTTCCTTCATGGCTGCCTTTCCGAGTCTCTGCTTTCTGAGCTGCCGTTTCCATTTGGATTGATGACTGAGCCGAGGTATACAAAATCTTCTTTCTTTCTCTTTCAATGGAAGGAGAAAGCTATTTTCAGGAATTAAAGAGAATGTCTTCCGTCTTGCACTTGGCCTTGTTGTGTAATCCCTTCTTTCCATGACCCTGATCTGAAAATGACCAGGAAGGATTGGAGGTCTTGAATCTTGATCCGTCAGCGTTATTGTTCCTGGTTTCAACGCTTTCCCTTGCGAGAAACAGCATGAGCTCCGAGAGATGTCTTAGGATTTCCAGCCTTCCTTTCTCGCTGTATGTACCCTTTTGATCATGGCTTGAAATGTTTATCACGGCTTCCTGGTCGGTCTTACTTCTTGGTCTGAATTGCTCCCTTCAGATTGCTTTCTTGCTAATTGCGATAAGGAGTTTTTAGCAAACCTAGACACGGTTGCTCAAGAAATTCCACAAACGCGTTTTGGTGCTCCTGTTATTAAGCTGTGAGGTTTTTTTAAACGGACTCTATTTGACATTTCACCATTTCTTCTTTCAACCCTTTTTTGACTGTTGGCATGAACCGCAGTCCTTTGTATTCAAGTTTTATTCTGGCACGGGGCTGAAATACATTCCAGTAAACCCTGAAAGTGTCCTACACATGGCGGGCCGATCTCAAAGTCCCAAAGTGACTGTTTTGACTACAGTTGCCAGAATCCCCCAGCGGGCCAGGCTGATGTGGGTTGGGGAGGAGAGTTACTTTGATGTCAACATCTGACATACCGTGTTGCCCCGAAAATAAGACAGGGTCTTATATTAATTTTTGCTCCAAAAACGCATTAAGGCTTATTTTCAGGGGATGTTATATTTTAGTCATGGCTTCTTCTTCTGGTTGCTGCACTAGGGGGGAGGGCAGGGTTTCACTTAACTGGGGCTTATTTTGGGAGGTAGGGCTTATATGACGAGCATCCTGAAAAATCCTAGTAAAAGGTAAAGGTTCCCCTTGACATTTAGTCCAGTTGTGTCCGACTCTAGCGTGCGGCGCTTATTCCTGTCTCCAAGCCATAGAGCCAGCGTTTGTCTGAAGACCGTTTCCGTGGTCATGTGACCAGTGTGACTAGACACAGAACGGCATGACCTTCCCACCGTGGTGGTACTTATTTATCTACTTGCATTTTTACATGCTTTCGAATGGCTAGGCTGGCAGGAGCTGGGACGAGCGATGGGAGCTCCCCTTATCACGTGGATTCAATCTTACGACAGCTGGTCTTCTGATCTTGCAGCCCAGAGGCTTCTGCAGTTTAACCCGCAGCGCCACCACGTCCCCTGAAAAATCCTACTAGGGCTTATTTCCAGATTACGTCTTATTTTCGGGGAAACTGGGTAGGGTAGGGCTCCTAGCCCAGGACTGGAGAGGGAATATGCCACGGTGAGAAGCTTAGCATGGAGCAACGCCTCGGCCGTGTCCCCGGGTCTGTGCCAATTCTGCTGGCTCCTGCCAATGACATGTGATGGGGTGAGGAGACACCTTGCCACTCAATGAGAGAAGCAGCCAAGCCTCTCCCAAAGATGGGAGCACTGTCCCATCCCACGAGACAGGATGATGGGCTGCTACTGCATCAGAGAGCATCAGCACAAGGCATTCCCAGGCCTTCTTCTTCAAAGGGATTTGCATGGTGTTACACCAGGGTCACTGGTGACTCCACCATTAGTACACCGGAGGGGCTTCTCCCCACCTCAGGCTCACCCCAGCCACCCCACTGCTGCCTCCCTTCTTATCAGAGGTGAAAGGCTTTTGTATGTGTTTGTGAGGGCCAGCCAGCTTCTCCTGCTCTCTCTCTCTCTCTCTCTCTCTCTCTCTCTCTGTATTCTAATTCAATTCGCCAGCAAACCTCCTGTTTTTGAATGGGGGATATGGCGCTTCTGTCCCCACGCTTCGAAAAGCGAAGAAATGGCCTGATACGGCTGCCCCAGATCATGTCTGCGTTGCCAGCACCAAAAAGGAGGCCAAACTTTGCATAGCAAAGAGCAGCTAGAATGTTGACAACACCGATGGCAGTAGGCAAGAGGGTCTACGCAGGATACCTTCCTGTGCTTGCTACCATTCATAAAGCGACACCCTGCAAAGGGAAAGTTCCAGAAGCTGAGTCCCTTTTTTCAGCCGCTCACCACCTTCTCACGCAAACACAAAGCAAGGGTCAGGGCTGTTTTTCAACAAATGTGACTGGTCGTGAGCAGAAGAGGACATCTCGTAGACCATCGTGACTGCTGCCATGGGTGTTCTCGTTGGCCAGCTGTTTACCACTCTGTTCTCCAGGTGCCTTTTAAAATCTATGCACTGTACTTGGATAGGAGCAAGACCTCTCCTTCCTACCCCTTATAGGGCTAGATTTGTTTGGGTGAAGAAAGAGGCCCCTCGTGGCCTGGCCTCCAGACCAGGGCTGCTTGAGCCCTGCTGTGGCTGAGGGGCTTCGTTTTGGAAGAAAAGGAAGCTGGCTGTCCTTGACACGTGGATGAAAGATGATTGTCTGAGGCAGGAGCTGTGGGATATAATTCTGTTTTATTCTGCTGCCAGGGTGTGGGCCTTGAAGAGAGAAGGAAAAGCAAATGAGAAGAGAAGACTTGGCTCTTGGCTTGCTGTAAAGATACAGCAAGTTTGAATTCCAGTGTGTTGAAAGAATTGCCTTCTGTATTTCAGTGCCTAGAGTCCTTCAGTCTTTTTCAGTGCCTAGAGTCTTTGTAGGCTACAGAATAATACAGTGGCGCCTCGCTTAACGATTGCCTCGCTTAATGAGGAAATCGTTATACGATTAGGTTTTTGCGATCGCTTTTGCGATTGCAAAATGATGGTTTAAATGGGTTTTTTTCGTTTAACGATGCTTTGGGAACAGATTTTCGCTTTACGACAATCAGCAAACAGCTGATCGTCAGGTTTCAAAATAGCCACTGGCTGAAGAAAATGGCCCCCCACTGTTTTCTAGGACGGATTCCTCGCTTTATAGGCACTGAAAATGGCTGCCATATGGAGGATCTTTGCTGGACGAGCAGGTATTCAGCCCATTGGAACACACTGAAGTTTTCAATGCATGTCAATGGGTTTTTTATTTTGTTTGACAATGTTTTTGCTCTACAGCGATTTTGCTGGAACGAATTAACATCGTCAAGCAAGGCACCACTGTAAGTATCTTAGAAATGCAGAGATGGAAGGGACCCCAGGAGGCATAGTGGAGAATTGAACTCCCAACCTATACCTAAACCACTGAGTTATCCAGCAATTCTTTCAGTGGTAGTCCAAAAAAAAGAGAGAATTTTTTCCTAAGCTTTCCATATACCATATTTTCCCTGTATAAAACGACACCTTTTCCCTAAATAATCTGAGAAAATATTGAGGGTTGTTTTATACATGGAAGGCAGCTCTTTACCACTCACTGCCTTTTGCGAAGATATGGGGTTTAGCGAAAAAGGGGGAGGTGTTGCTCCCTTCCTTTTTGCTAAGCTCCAGGCCTTCTCAAAAGGCAAGGAAAGCGGCACTCACTTTGACAACTGCTTTCCTTGCCTTTTGCCAAGGCACGGGGCTTAGCAAAAAGAGAGCCCTTTGATCATTGCTTTTTCTAATTTGGGGTCAGAAAAGGGGGGGGTGTCATCTTATACTTTGGGTCATCTTGTAAATGGAAAAATACGGTATGCTTCATGGAGCCTTGTGGCAAAGTGGGTAAACTGCGGTCCTGCAGTTGAGACTCTGCTCATGGCCTGAATTTGATCCTGACGGGCACAGGCAGCTGTCTCAAGGTTGACTCAGCCTTCCATCCTTCCGAGGTTGATAAATTGAGTATCCAGCTATGTTTCCTGCACAATTGGATTGTAAAATGCCCAGAGATTGCTTTAAGCCAGGGGTGTCCAACCTTTCACCTTCCCTGGGCCACATTAGAAGATGAAAATTTGGTTTGGGCCGCACATACATTTGGTTTGGGAGGCATGGGGGGGGGCAGCCCTAGCCGTCCTCCGCAGCCCCGCTCCAAACGCGCTTACCAGCAGCTGTGATCTCAGACAGCAGAGGCTGCCAGCTTCAACTCCGGCAACTTTATGGGGCTGGGAGGGGGTCCACCTATTGACGGGGATGGCACCATGCAGTCACGCAGCCCCCCCTCTCCCCTCCCATCCCCTCCCACTCCTTCCTTCCTTCCCTCTCTCTCCCCCTCTACTGTTGTGATATGCCCCGGCCACATTCCGGCCGCAAGCGCCGGCAGTGTAACTCAAAACTTTGGAATTTCTTTAAAAATAAAAAATTGCACAGGGCCGCATTACGAGCTGACCTGGGCCGCATGCGGCCCTCGGGCCGCGGGTCGGACAAGCC